CCCCCTGCCGGCCTGGCCGCCCCACGCAGCCTGCTGTTCGGCCGTTACTGTTACTGTGACGGTGTCCTGGACAATTAGCAGATTCCTCTATTATTAGTATAGACTGCTTTCCGAGAGGAAGAGAGAGGGAGAGAGAGAGAAACATGGATGATGAGAGTCACTGATTGGCAGCCTCCTGCACTCCCCCTAGTGGGGACCGGGTGAGGGTGGACAAAAATAAGAGATGAAGGGACTGCCCCCTGATCCCATAGCAGGTCCGGGCGGAGCTGAGAAGACCAGACACTGAGACCGTTGTTTCCAGACGGGGTGACACGTGATCGTCATCACGGTCGGTTTTTCCTTCCACTGGTTTTCGGAATCCCAGGGGGACTCAGCCGCTCCCGGGCCCGCGTGCCGCTGGGAGAGGAGGGACAGGCTCGGAACCCGTCGGACTCGGGCCTGGGACGCACCAGTTGGGCATCAGGGCGTTGTCCTTGCCCCGGAACATGATCCCGACGTTCGCAGCGTGCTGCCGCGAGGAGTAGAAGTCCGTGTAGTCACCTGCGGGGGGAAGTCGCGGGAGAGAGAGGGCCCATTGGGGACCCGGACGCCTCCGGACAGAGAAGGGACAGGCCCAGGACGGGGTGACGGGAACCAGGAGAGCCAGCTTCCTGGGCACCCCCCGTTCCAAGGGGCGGCAGGCGGGGGCACCCCCCACAGCATTTGTACCGAAGTTCAGCACAAGATGGACACAAATGAGCCTAAAAAATGGTTTCAGACCGGCCAGTGTGGCTCAGTGGCTGGGCGTCAACCTATGAACCAGGAGGTCAGGGTTCGATTCCGGTCAGGGCACAGGCCCGGGTTGCCGGCTCCATCCCCAGTGTGGGGCGTGCAGGAGGCAGCTGATAAATGATTTTTCTCTCGTCATTGATTTTCTCTCTCTCCCTTTCTGAAATAAGAAATATATCAAAAAATAAATAAATACCCCGGCCAGCGTGGTCAGTGGCTGAATGCCGACCTAC